GCCGCGCTCGCCCGGCCCAGCCGGGCTGTATCAGAAGGAGGCGCGCCGGCGTTAGCCGGCAAGCCGACTGGTATCCAAATAAGCGAAAAGGACCCCAAGCACACACAGAAGTAAGTGAAGAGTAGGCTCCAGCACCGAAGGAGAGGATGTCGAGAATAAAGTGACAGAGTAAAATTTTTCACCTCATCCCTATCAGGCAAATGTGAGAACCTCCGAAGGTCCAAGTATCAGCTGTTCTCTGTATTCCGAGCAATTTTGAGGCGACTTTCTTGGTTACTTCTCGAAGTCCTGTAGGGTCCATTCCATGGACGACGAAGGCTGCAATCAAATCCAGTGGCAGGCAAACCTATAGAGCGTTAAGAAGTTGTTTTTTGTTGCAGTTCTGCCGTTTGCTTGCCCTCGCACTGCATAATTGTTGAATAACAACTTTAGAACTGTTGAAAACGCGATTTTGTGGCTTGTTCCAAACATTTTTTCGCTACTCTATATTCAAAATTGTTAGCCGTTTTACCAACGCGAATTCATTTTTTATTGGGGTTTCACTTTTCCAGTGGTTTTACCAGTACTTTCTACTGTGCACTGCAGTGTTCTTCTGTTTAGGGATTAGCTCCTCGAGTTGTCAGCAACGCACTCTACTCGAGCATGGTAATGTTAGCGTACGAGACAGTGAAGAAGCTTTGCGTTTTACCTGAATATCAGGAGCATGTGGTTTGGTAACTATAACTATAGTATTATTTTGTTTTACGAAACCAGTTCTGAGAGGATTATTTTGACGTTTCGACCGTGAAGTATCCACTTGATACCTCTGTGATTGGGCCTTTCGATTGTCACTTTTCTAATACCATATGTCGATCAATGGAATTGCCTTTTTTTTGGTAAACGTCCTCATCTAGTCTTTATAAGAATAACACTTACTTATCCATATGATGAAAATGCCTATTAGTTGCCATGCTTCATATGTGCAGTATTAATCATGGTTTCAATAGGGTTCATTTGTATCTCATATTAATAAGAATTTTCTAGGCCACAAGGCTGGTGTTGTGTTGGATGTGATCTGTTGTTAATAATCTAAACTGTACTGCTGCACTTAATTATTCCTAGTTCATTGATAATTTGCTTAGATTGTGTTTTTTTTTTCGCTGCCGACGCATTTAGTCTTTTTTGGAGGAGCTAGGCTAGAAAGCCAAAATCGAGCATTAGCGGAATTCAGCCAGAATTAACGGACCTGGTTTTCTACTCGTCGTTATCAGTGGGTTAGTAGTTGGAGAATGGGATGTTGTCCGTGGCTGAGTGGATTTATGACATCTAATTTGCTTTCATTTTGTATACACATGTTGTAATTACTCAATAACTTAACGTAATAATAAACTGTCCTTCACGATTTATAATTATTGTGCCAGATGGTGTAGCTGATGCACAAAACTATTCATTTATTTTATTTTTATTTGTGTCTGTTGCTCACAGACAAATTGTATACTCACCTTCAAGGACAGTATTTGCTATGTGCGAGGAAAATGGGTTCGCACCTGCAGTAGCGTGTCACTTTCCCCGCTTAAAAGTGCACGAGAACAAGCTGTAGGGTAGCTAATACGCGAGGGCTGTCTCCATACTCCGCTCGCGCTATCCTCAAAGTGCAGCACTTCCGTCCAAAATGCCGCAGCGAATTTGGAAGTAGCACTAGAGAACTGAGGAGAAGAAGTGAGAGGACGCAGACATTCAGCCCATCTGGCTATGATTAGGCGCGTGGCTCGCCGTGCGGCAACGCGGGTGGAGTAGCGGGACGGCGTCCGCGTGTCCCATTACCTCGCAGATGGGAAGTACCGTCGTCCCAGGTAAGCGCACTGTCTGTCTTTACGTAGGCTTGTTGGTTTTCATTTCTACTCAAATCGTACTGGGCTTTATAGATGGCTGCACGTCGGGCGATGTCCCGGTTTGATCGGGTCAATCAATGGTTGCAGTTTGCCAGGCAATGGCACATCGTAGATGCCGATCATCAGGTGAGTGCAGACTTCGGATTCTGGTTTTGAAACCGCACATCAACCAACGAGAATCCCCTCATCACTGTCTCATGACCTCGTAGAGCCGCAGGTTTCAGCAAGGATAATCCCTCGGGGCATTGTTCACGGTTGGAAAAATAAGGTATGAATTAGCAGAATATAAGATTATAAGTTCAGGTTGTCAGGCTGCGTACAGTACCCCCGAAAATTGCGCGTGAAGTTAAAAATGTTGCGTCGTGAACGCACACAATCGGGCGCACCGTAATCGGTTTGGCTACCCAAGCTGCGGGGTGGGGCGGCCACCCGGGCAGCGACCCGCCCTACCCCTGTAAGCACCGGCCCCTCGGCCAGGCCACAGTACTCCATGCCAAAATTAAATGCTCCGCGTGGTCCCGGATCCGTTGTGTGCATCCACGGCCAATACAATTATTCTCACGCGCCATTTCCGGGGGTACTGCACGCAGCCTGGTAACCTGAACCTATAATTAAATTAGCAGAATGTAAAAAGCAGTATAAATGGGGGAATAGGTACGAGTATAGGAAAAACATACAGGAAAACTAAGAGAGCAGAAGTGGAGTGCATCCACGAAAAGGTAAATACGGACAGGGAAAAATGGAGAATCATGCAAGCGAAACTCCGAAAAATTCTGTGCTTCCGCGACAAGAGTCAGTGACTTTTGAATCCTCTGACGCGCTTCTCCGATGCCCTGATTGAATGTCAGGCACCGCTGAGGAGGATTTTCGGAAAATATGACCTCCCTCCCCAATTCCCTCCTCTGATACCACTCACCCCCCCCTTCCATCACATGTAAAACGGAAAAAAAACTGCGAAAAATCAACAACCGGGAAATTGTTTACTCACGCCACAACTTCTCTGAAAGGTAAAGACGACCACTCCCCTCTCCCAACAACGAGTGTATACGACCTCCCCGTTGAATCCTTCGTGAAGCAAGAAAAATCGACTATCAAAAAATTTTCCCGGCCCAAATACACTACCCCCGCCACCTCTCCCAAGCATCCAATTCCCCCCCCCCCGCGGGGGTTGTATAGGAACGACATTGTCTGTTGGATATAGTCATCCGATGCGGTACATGCAGCTCTTTTTGTCTTTTGTCCCTCTCCAATGATACGTATCTTCTTCTTTTTGTCGATTGTCCAATTTCTCAAAGTGGCATAAAGTGAACAATGTGTCGCTCTCCCCTAGCTTACTGTTTCGATGTTCCACACCCGTTCTTCGACGGTTTTTACGGTTCCAAACTACCATGTAGTTAACACAGTATATTTTATGATTTTGTTTTATTTTTCTTTCCATA